TTGTTTTTAATCATTGTTACCCTCTTTATCTCCCACTTACCCCTCCTTCTCCTTGGCTAAGATGTAATGTTCATATCCAACAATGTCAAGTGAGTATCAATGTTGCTGTGGCTCATCGGTGTTCTGCTGTTTCTGTGATTCTTTTCCCTTTCACGTATTGCATTGTCTATTATGCAAAACACGATGTACAAAAACTTAAGAGAAATGAAGAAAAAACAATAGAGAAAAAAAGAATGAACTATATACAGTCTCTAATGAAAACCTCTTGTTTCCATAAGTTGTAGTTCGTATTAATATGCTTCATTATATAGTCTTTTGCACTGAGAACTTGGTTTGTTGAGCTCATATTCATATCATATGAATATCATATTCATTTTCTCGTTTTTACAAATTAGGGAAATTGTATGTCCTGCTTTTCTTTGGGCCTGGCTTACTTCACTTCATATAATTTTTTCCAAGTCTTTCCATTTCCTTATGAATGGAACGAAGTTATTCTTTCTGATGGAAACATAGAATCCCATTGTGTATATGTACCACATTTTCTTGATCCATTCATCCATTGAGGGGCATCTGTGTTGGTTCCTATCACTTCTTAAGAGCTCTACTTCTCAGTACTGTTGCAATGAAGACTTGGTTTTGCTTACTTGAACTATATTCAAACTATAGTACCCACAGTTGGAATTTGGCCTGGAGAAGAGTCATCCTCATTGATCCTCATGTCCCCCATGGAGCAGAAAGACACACAGAACCTCAAACCCCACCCAGACTTATTGTATCAGAACCTGTGTTTAAGACCTGATTCAAAGTTGAAAACAAAGCCCAGGCTAGAGCCTTCAGTGAGAACAGTATCTCTAAGATGTCTGATTTCAGTAACTGATGAACGATTGGATCACTAGCTCTGAGATCCTAGTCATGTCTCTTCTGTGGGTCTTTGTGTCCTTTCCTATAAACCTGGGCAGAATTGGCTTATCTCTATGGCTTCATGATTCCTACCTCCAAGTTTCTTTTATTCAAGTGTGACTGTTTCAAAGTCAATGCTGAAAGGCATACATATGTGTGTGTGTGTGTGTGTGTGTGTGTGTGAGAGAGAGAGAGAGAGAGAGAGAGAGAGAGAGAGAGAGAGATCAGGTTCAACAACGTCTCTCCTGCAAAGGTTTTGCAAAATGGAAGATCAACTGATATACGAAAGAAGTAAGCAGAAAACAAATACCCTAAGTGTGATTGAGAGTCACATTGCATTCACATGGGCTTGCATTTTCAGGAAAAGTCATTGTGAATGAAGAAAAAGCCTTTGAAAGGTGAAAATGATTTCTATCAGGGTAAGGTAGACGACTTTAATACCCATGACTTTGGGGAACAGCGCTAGTGGAGTGCACAAAGAAGTGAGGGAGAAAAAAAACCCACAAACTTCTCAGTAAGGACAAATTAGAGATAATCCCTAACTGCAGCATGAGACGTTTTATGTCCTGATGTTTCCAATTAAGACATAATATGATCACAAAAGGGACTGGCGAAAGAAGTCTGCCTGTTGGTGTCGATAGAGTAGCTCAGGGCCAGAGAAACAGTAGAGGCAATGGTCACAATCCAAACTGATATACTTAAAGGAGAGTGTGTAGCTCAAATGGCAGCTGAAGAACACAGAGAAAGGCCTGGTGGGAAAAACAATATTTTAAGGAATGGATGATAAGGTGTAGGAAACTAATTAGTTATAGGTAAAGGAAGAGAAGGACAGAGAAAGAAGTATTTATATTTTCAAAGTTCAGAAAAAAGGACTCTGGTGTCGGCCCTCATTGTGAATGCTCCTCTCCCTTCCCTTTACTAGCAACATGAACTTGAATACTTGGTGGATCTTTTGGGCCCCACTGGTAAAATGTGGATGCTATCAGTGTCTTTATTGTTGAAGTACGTGAGATGGGACATGGAAGCAACGCAGCATATATGTGCCCTGAGCACACATGGTCATATGTTATCATCCTTTTGGTCAACAATGGGCTACACATATACAATCGTGGTCCCCAAGGATAATGGAACTGATAAGGTAGTGACATTATCAAAGTCTAACGGTTGTAATAAGACACAGTGCTCATGTTTGTGGTGGTATTGCTTCAGAAACAAACCTACTGCACTGCCAGTCCTATAAATATGTAACATACTTTTTTATTGTAATGGGGCTTGAACTCAGGGCCTGAGCACTGTCCCCGAGCTCTTTTGCTCAAGGCTAGCACTCTACCACTTAGAGCCACAGCTTCCCTTTGGGTTTTCCAGTGGATAATTAGAGATAACAATCTCATGTCTTTCCTGCCCAGGCTGGCTTCAAACTGTGATCCTCAGATCTCAGCCTCCTGAGTAGCTAGGATTGCAGGCATGAGCTACTGATGCCTGGCTGCACATTATAATTTGTACAGTACATAATACTGTAGTAAATGACTGCGTTACTGGTTTATGTATTTATTATAGAGTACTTTTTAAATCACCATTTTACTGTGTGCTCTTACTTATAAAAATGTTTACTGTCAAATATATGTGGCATACTGTGTGTTCATACAATCTCAGATACTAAGTGGAAAAAAAAGAGAATAGACCAATTATTGGTCCACAGTTAATCAAAACTTTCCTCACTCCTGCAACATATAGACCTAAGAATACTATAAGCTGGGTTATTTCTATCTAATTTATATACTGTATTATCCAGCACTAGACTGTGGGTTTGTTGTCTTGTCACATTGAAGACACAGTTGGACATTCAATGCTACCGTTGTGGAACAGGCCTTCTGTTTAATGACTGCTTCTTTAAAGTGATCCTTTTACCTCTTTTAGAGGATAGATATCCACCCCACCCCTAAACACTCTAGCGTTATCTGTGATGTGTCTGTGCTTAAGATTTATTGAGCTTCCTAGACATGAGAATTAGTATCCTGGAATATTTCTGAGCAACACTCCACCTTTATCTCTTCAAGTCTTGCCATCGCCTCGTTATTTCTTTTGTTTTTGCCTAACGTTCTGATTTTCTCTTCCTCCTCTTTACTTTTCTTTTATGGCTTCTCGTCCTTTGTTTGTCACCATGCATTGGTTTATTTCCTGAAACGATTGTCAATGTGTCAGTTCTGTCATTTGTCCATTGGAGTTTTCACATTTTAGGGTGTTTTCTTTAAAAAATAAATTCTACTTGACTTTTTCAAATGGACATAGGCATACCTTTTTGCTCTTTGTTCCTTTCTCTCACCCACTCACCTGAATTCATTTTGATGTATTAAATATGGTTTTTGTATTCTGAGATCATTTCAACATTGTAGAGGAAGATCTTACTCTGTTCTATGTTATTTCCTCTGGTTCTCATTTATGGTGCGTTATTTCTTTGTGTGATTTGTGATTTTATTTATTTAATTTATTTTTATTTTATTTTATCTTATTTTTTTTGTTGGTCATGAGGCTTTAACTCAGGGCCTGGGAGTTTTACTTCACTCAAGACTAGCACTTTACTACTTTGAACCACAGTGCCACTTCTGGTTTTCCGGTGGTTAATTGGAGGTAAGAGTCTCATGGACTTTTCTCCTCCAGCGGGCTTTGAACTGCAATCCCCAGAACTAAGCCTCCTGAGTGGCTGAGATTATAGGCATGAACCACTAGTGCTCAGCTTGATTTTCTTCTCTAATGTTTTACTTGGTTACTATGGCATGTTTATTTTCCCATGGGGCAATGGGATGTGTACTGACACACCCCTCCCCCAGAAGACTGGCATTGTCTTCTGCCAGTTAACAAAAGCCATTACTCAATCAGACTGTGTACATGAATACTCTGCTTGACACACCTCAAACCACATTGGCAGTGTCCAAGAGGAGTAAAACCTGTGTGAAAGGCATTCATGTCTTAAAATAATCATAAGGGAGTTGTTTCCCATTCTTTCAGAGGGATGGTTGAGGTAGACAGGCTTTGTTGCCAGTCTTGTGTGCAGTTGCATATTGTTTTCTTCCTTGTGCTTCAAAGTGCAGTTCTTTCCAGAGCACCAGCTTCCTTCTATTGAACTCCTTTATCAGCACAAGGCCATTAAATGAGATGTTCGAGGTCTGCAGGGTTTAAGAGAGACCTTCAGGCCAACCCTGCTTGGTATTACATGCTCTTGGGATTCCAGCTCTGTTTTATTTGGGAATTGAATATTCCTTCTTTCTATGTTATTTCAATAATGTGTTTCAGATGACCTTTGACTTTTTGGCTAATATCTAGTTATGTGTGGCTAGAAACACAAGGATTTATGCAATTAATCTAAGACTTAAATGAGTATGCACATGATTCTATATATTGTATCTAAAGCATCTCACTTATATAGTCTAGTAATTTTACTTCCTGTTGCATGTAGTAAAATCTTGATTTTTGCTGTAAACATGAATTTCCCAATTATTCTGTAGGAACTATTGCCATGCTTCTTGTCACTTATCTTGAAAATATAACAGATCTGTGATGCGTTTGTAAGAGAATTAACTATAACTTGCTGTTATGATAGAATCTTTCATAACCTCTCAAAATAATAGAATCACAAAAACATGAAAACACAATTATACCTGCCTCTAGTTTACTTCCAAAGTTGGCTCCCATTCAGAGCATTAGAGACATATGAACCTTTCCATAAATTTCAGTAGTAGTAAAATAGTAATATAATGACTTTTGGGCAAAGAACTAATTCTAGGAAAATTGTGCTCAAACTACACTTTAGAAAATCAAACTTTTTTTTAAGTTTAGTGAATGTCAAGCTTACAGATATTTCAAGGAAACCTTTACAAGTGTTTAATCTCCTTGTCTTCTATAACTTATCTGGTAAGGAAATGAGCGCCCCTTTCTAAACTATCTGATTTCACATGAGACATTTTACTCAACTAGGGACACACACACACACACACACACACACACACACACACACACACACACACACACACTGCAATCTGAAAAGAACACCAGCCTCCTGCAGCCTTGTCTGTCTCTCTAATTGAGAGCCTTTCTTTCCCTAGTATGTGCGAGTATCTTTTGATACGAAACCTGATCTCCTCCTACATCTGATGACTAAGGAATGGCAATTGGAGCTTCCCAAACTTCTCATCTCTGTGCATGGCGGCCTGCAAAACTTTGAACTCCAGCCAAAGCTCAAACAAGTCTTCGGAAAGGGACTCATCAAAGCAGCCATGACAACTGGAGCATGGATATTCACTGGGGGAGTGAACACAGGTAATTGGAGTGGGGCAGAGAGGAAAAGCCCAAACCCTGAGCATGTTGTGCCTAAAATCATTTTCTGGGTCCAGGTTTATTTATTCTCTCCCTCAATGCCTATGTGCACTTACCTCCCTATCATTCCTCTCACTGTATCTCTCTTCTGCTTTTCCCTAAATGATAACCACCCAGTTATTTCTCACAAGAAACAGATTGACTGTGCAGAATTTGTAAACACAACTAATGGAATTTCACAGAATGTTTTCAGTTGCTCAAGTTGTATAACTATCCAATAATTTTTTTAAGAATAACTTCTGCTTTAAATTGGATGCTACGCCTCTGCTCTTTGAGAGATTTCCATTTTGGTGACAAATAGCTGTAATTTCTTTCTTTTTGTTTTTTGGAAAATGCCATTTGTATGTGAGACATAAATTGTGGTGCAAAGTCTAGATTGTTATCTGCTTAGTGCTTTACCAGTGGATGACACACTTCACTCCAAACTACATATACATATATATACATATATATATATATATATACACACATATATATATATTCCTATCTGCTGAATGAGTTTCTATATTGTGATACAGGTACACTGTCAAATTAGTTCTTACAAACCCACTTATAGTCAGTGCTTCTGTGTAAACAGAATACTGTGTAAACAGTATTATCATGCAACAGATAATGGATTGAATTCTTGAGAACGTTATAAGGATATTTCCCAGCCTAAGTCAAGTTCCTGTTAGAAGCACTCAAATAATAATTGTAAGTTGATGCAAACTTGTCGCAAGGCTCAACGACTATCCAGGTACAGGTAGATACATTTGTAGTGGGACTTTCTGAACAAAACTCTGGAACACTGAGATTTAAATACCATGTTATCTCAATGTTGTTTATGGGTTTCATTTATATGTTTGAATGAGATCTTTACTGCAAACTTTCCTACATATCTGGAATTTATGACCAACGTAAACATAGCTACACAAGCATGCTTTGACAGTAAAATTTGCAGACATTGCTGTGTGAAATTCAGACTCAGTCCCTAATCGTGATCTTAGATTGAACTTCTTAGTGACCTCTTTAGTGATGACCCTATAGTAACCAGCTATCTACAAGCTAAAGACTAGTCAGGTTTTACTAAGTAAGAACCACTTTCCTGTAAGAATTTAGTCTTTTGCATTATGACACAAGGACACCAGCCTAAAGATTCTAAAGGTTCAAAAGAAATTCTAATCAGTTTTCTATTTTTAGGAGATTGGGACATTGTTTTTGTTCTTTCTCACAATGTATTCACTATCAGAAGAAGAATTTACACCTTAAGTACTATAAACCAAAGAGTTTATCTGATCTGGCCCAAAATGTGAACTGTTCTAATGATGAATATTAAAACTAGATAGGAGGTAATAGGAAAATTGGGGCCAACAAGAGCATACCAGGAACTTAAACTTCTTATCTAGGACTGATATTTTTATAGTAATGTCCACTGATTTGCTTCATTTTTTGTAGATTTGTTTTAGAAGTACTCATATTTAAAAGTTAGCAAGTGAAAAATGACCTCTCCCAATACTGCCAGGGTAGCTCAATATGATTTAGTAGCCATTCGCACTGTTTCATTTTGTATTAAAAATGAGACTTACTATTTGATCTTGTATTTCACAATTGAGTTATTGAAATAACATTCTCTCCCATCATTAAGTTGGCTGGTATGATTTGTTTGTAGTTAGTTCAGAGCAGTTCTGAGCCCTTATTTAGGCTACACTATCTCTTGGAGCACAGAAAGTAGAGATACACATTGACCTGCCTTCAACTATTGGAAAATACATCCTTATATGTGATTATGAGTCACTATAGGAAATATTATGTGATATATTGAGCTATTCAAGATACACGGCCTGCAATATATTCAAATGAATAAGAAATCAAGCCCAACTCAATGTTCTATAGAAGATGGCACTGAGTCTGAATTTTCTGTAAGTAATGGGTAGAATTTTGATAAGTAGAAACATTTTTTAAGAAAATGTATCTTACAAGTCTTATATAGAAATCATCGATCGAGAGGGAGATTGTAGGTAAAAAATTGTAACTGTGAATGGCTTGTGAAATGACAAGTTAGGTTTCCTACTATTTAAAAATAAACCAAATTCCTTCATTTTTAAATATGTGGGAGAAGCGCATTATAATTGATGAGAGACAAGATGAGAATGGTGGAGGAATTGGAAGTATAGCTCAAGTGGTAGAGAGCCCGCTTTGAGCAAAAAAGCCAAGCAATAATGTAAAGTCCTGAGTTCAAGCACAAGTTTATACACACACCCTCTCTCACACACAATACACTTGGACATGCACACACAGAAATTGGAATTGTAGGATAGATGATTTATTTATGCATTTTAATATGTTTTCAATATAAGAATCAAACATTTTCTTTACAACTAGGCATTCCATATTATATGTTTTAAATAGATACATTGGTTAAGATTAATAAAAATCTGAGCTAAGTAACTATTTGTATAACCAGACAGTGTGTATTACAAACTGTAGTGCAGGATTACTATCATATTGTATATTGTACTTTTTTCCCTCGGGACATAGTTAAGATGTTGACTCTTGGTCACATTAACAAAGCACTATACTTTTAAGAGAAAGATTCCCTATGCATTCCTTAAGAATTGTATTTATTCTTTTTATAACTATTGAGCGCTTTTGACTTTTCCATGTGAATTAGGATGAAAACTGAATTGCTACAGTACATATCAACTCTGACAAATATGTGGCATTATAGCCACCATTTCATATGTCTCTCCTGAAAAATGTGCAGTTCTTACAGAAATGCGTCAAGTTGTATATTCAATTCACTTAACCATGGGAGAAGCGGGAGTCACAACTTGCTGTAGACCAATGGAAAAGGCATGGCCATAATAAACAAGATGACTACTTCTCTCTCTGCTCTTAGGTGTTATTCGCCATGTTGGAGATGCCTTGAAGGACCACGCTTCTAAGTCTCGAGGGAAGATATGTACCATAGGTATTGCCCCCTGGGGAATTGTGGAAAACCAAGAGGACCTGATTGGAAGAGATGTAAGTCTCGGGGACAATCCCTCCACATGACTTTTCCTACAGGGACTCTCATGAGAGTAAAATTAGAAGGTAATTAGAATGTACCCGAGATAGTGTTTTTCCCTCCCCCCTTACCTACCAAAGGGAAAATTGATCATTAGGAATGATTTCAACTGAGTTATTAGTTGTTTCTGAAAAAAATCTGTCTACATAGATCTAATGTCAATTCTGATCAAGACAGGTTGAAAATAACACTTATCAAACCACCTTCTCTCTACTTGAACCAAGTGATAGAGGCATAGTTCTGTCAAGGTTCATTTACACTGAGTAACAGTTGTGGAGATGAATGCAGGCTCCAGTTCACTGTTGCTTGAGTACCTCTTGCATGTATCTCAGGAGAGCAGCAGGGGTTGGTGCTTTTCACCGAAGCTGGTGGCTTCTCTGGGCAGCCTTTCTTTGGAGATGTTTGGCAAAGATATGGACACAGATGGATTCTTTACTTCCCACTTACTTCAAAATGTCAGCTTCTATTTCCTGTTCTGATGTCCAAGGCCACATACTGGCCAACCACACAACAATTTTGACAGAAATTTAGACCATTTGGTCACATTTCTTTTTCCCGAGTCACCATCTTATTTCTTTTCCTTCTATCAATCTTCTTGTTTTAAAAGAAAAAAAAACAGGTTATTACTAACTTCCTTTAGAAGATTTTTCTCTCCTACCAGCCATTAAACTTTTCAAAAATCCGTCAGTATGAAGTTTAATACAGTGTGTGAACAGAACAGATTGCCATCTTTTATTCCATTCTTCTTTAATAATTTTAGCAATTGACTATCACTCCTCTCTACATCAGATCAATACGTCCTTTTCTGTACAATCAATACAGCAAATATGCTAACTAGTTGCCTGTATTCAAGCATCATAGGGTTTGTCTGAGCAAAAACGGGAGGAAAGAAAAGAAGCTGAGAACCAAGTGTTTTAGATTTATTCTTGTATTGCAATTCACCACAATGCAACTATCACATTTCAATCCAACACAGTATATTTTCAATGCAACACAAAACACTATATGATAAGATACCCAGTGAACAAATCAAGACAAGCTGTAAACAAATTTCTAAATCTGTGTGATAACAAGCATGAAATTTGACTTCAAGGCCACCAAATTATCTGCAGAAATGCTCAGCTATGCAGGGGATATGGGACAAGAAAAGAGATACCAATTTTTATCAGTATAATAGTTTCTTAGCTAAAATTCACTGGCTGCTTTATCTATATCTTTACATGTCTCAAACACCAATTTCCAAAATGCTAGGTAAGCAGAACTGGCTAAAAGAGTAAGCATTTCTGATTTTTTTTCAGAGTATCTGGGACTTGTTTTTTTTTTTTTTTTATAAAATATATGTGGGTTAATACTTGCCTTAAATTCCAGGCTGGCTTATAACTGAATGTTGATATTAAACTAGAATTAAAGGTATCTCTTAAAGAATTAGGATACTCTAAAAAGATCTGAACACCTTAAGCATTTGATAGTATATTTTATTAACGTAAGTTATTTCTATATATTTATGATACAGAAGTCATTTTGAAGTGTTCATAGCTTCAAGATCTTTACCATAAACTTGAATTAGCATTCAGCTTGGGGTACTACTTTAGAGCTTTTACATCCAAGTAAATTGTGGCAAATGGCAACTGGTTATTTTTATTTTCAAGGTAGAATAACAAAATGCTAATATGATTATCATGTGATTATGGAAAATCAGTACTTCTATTATATTTACTTGCCTTGGCAAGTTGGAAAATCCAGTCCTATTTATTTTTCTTCCAATCACAACTTTTTCTCTGATTTTATTTCCTTCTCATGTTTCTTCTTCTCCCATTACTTTTTTCCCATTGTATGTCAATAGGGCCTAGAGAGGTTGGATGGGGTCCCAATTAAAATGGTCTTGTTCCAAGCCCAGAGGGCATTAATCCCTACTCATTTGCTCAGTATAAGTATGCTTTAATCATCCCTGCTTCCAGGGGTCTAATAAAAGCAAACCGTAGCTCACAAAGAGCCAGGTCAGCTGGTAGAGAGATGAAAGTGAAAAGATTCCAAATGAAAGTTCCAGGATGGCTTAGTAGAGATAGCTAATACTCACCTCCTCCAGCACAAAGAGCCACAGTAACAGATGCGTAGATGTATTTTGACTCTTATGACCCTGCAAGAACAATAGAATTCAGCAACACAGAAACTAGAACCTGTGAGATTCAGAAACCTGGAAGACTGCACAGGAGAAATGAAATACCCCTGCATTTGCCATAGTAAATGGATTCATAGATGGTGTAAGAGACTCTCTCATGTGCAAGGATAAGATGAAAAAAAAAAAAAGAGTCATGTCAATCTCTACTAGATGCTGGTAAATGGAGCTACTGGAAAGTTCCACAAGCCACACAGCAGCTTTGCAGTCCACTTAAAAAAGTAATCTGAAATCTGCATATTTGGAAAAGAATTTCACACCATCATCCAGAGAACACCTAGGAAACCAGGAACTACCTTGAAAATTGAGTTGTCCAAGTTTGGACTTCTCCGAAGGCTAGAAAATGCCTGCACATTCTCATCTCTGGGATTCCACAGACATTCTACTGTACTGGTTGGTTAGATAGTCACCCTATTGGCTCAACTGGACCTAGAAATATAACTATGACCTCTACCCATGGGTTTCCTGCAGGGGAGGGGTACTGTCATAGGGTGGGGGGGCGGTAATTGTCACCAAGAAGGGATGGAGGGCATTTGTCATCTGTGACTAAGGGCATGGCTGGTCCCATAGGGATTCATATCAGTGTGAGGCCTGAAGGTGGCTGTCCACATCGTTTGCACTATACCAGTTCCACTTTTGACTGCCCGTTATTAACAGAGAAGAGAAAGAACACCGGGTTCCATGGCCGTCTTTCCTTTGGTACATCCTACAGCTGGAGAAGCATAGAGAGGAGCCTCTATGGCCGTGGCCAACCTACTAGCCCGCGAGAGCCAAAGACAGCTGCAAGCAATTTTGAGCATCTTCATTCCTGGATAGGCACCATTATCTCTCAAGAGGAGAATTGAAGTCCTGCGCTGCCTGCCTATGCCATTGTCACTAGTAGCTCACCTGCATGCCATCTGTGACATGCACTACTGCTGCAGTTGTTACCACTGACTCATCTGGTGCAACATCTTGGCCAGAATCATTGACCAGTCAAAGACAAGTGCTTTGGGCTCCTCATCATTCATGGGGTTCCCAGTAACAGAGCCCATATTAGAAGCACCTAAAGAAATCTTCATCATCTAGTAGGGACACACTTCTTGTAGAAGCAGCCATAGCGTGATGACCCTCACATTCGACTGTCTACATCCCATTAGCCTGGACTGCTTCAGTGTCCTCACTCATGAAGAACGTCCTGCCAAAACAGGTCGTTGCAACAACCCATCAATGTATCCTCTGTGCTCAGAGTTAGTAATCACAGCCAAAGAAGCCACAGAGAGTGAAAACTACAGTGCCAAGCTAGAAAGAAAGCCAGTAATTCATAGTGACCATCCCCGATACATGCTCGTGAAAAAGACATTACAAATACCATGTCAGGAAAATGGAATAGATGCCTGTTCTAACAGATGTGCTAATGTTTATGAAGGAGAAGAAACAGAAAAGCAAAGCAATATGACACTTGTAAAAACAAACAAAAAAAATCTATCTATGGATTCAAAAAACTAGATACAGATGAGTTGCCTAATAAAGGAAATCTTATCATAAAGTTCAATGAGATCCAAGAGAATACAGATAAACAATGACATGAGATTAGGCAGGTAATATATCACATGAGTGAGAAAATTATCAGAGACTGATTTTAAAAGAAGTTTTGGAAGTGAATAGCTCAATAGGTCAAACAAAAAAACTCATTGTTAGCCTCAAAAATCAACCTCAACAAGCAGAAGGCATATCTGGATGTGAAAATAGTCCTTTTGAAATAGTCCCATCAGCAACAACAAAAATAAGAAAGAAGATATTCTAAACTTTTGGGACACAATTATATAAACAAGGATCCACATTTGCAGAATACTCAAACGAGAAGAAAAATGTTAGTGACACAGAAAACTTACCCAGTGAAGAATACTAGAACTTTCTCAAGGCTTAGGAAACTATTTCTCCATATGTATGAGGCTTATTGGACCTCAGGCACACATGATCAGAAAGGAGCTGATTATATCTATTATGTGTTTTACCATAAAATATCAACAAATAAATGATAGGAAAAAAATCCTCAAATCTGCAATAGAATCCTATTTAGGGGTCTCTCAATTAGTCTAAGAGCTGATTTCTTAGCAGAAACCCTACAGGCCACAAGGGAACGAAATTATATATTCCATGTCCTAAAAAATAACTATCAGCCAAGAGTACTACATTCAGCAAGGAGATACAGGACAAATAGTCCTTTCAAGACAAGCAAAACCTGGTGTAATTAATGATTACTAAATTGGATTTACAAATGTGTTATGAAGCCCAATATTTAGGAATAAAAGATAAATGCCATTATGAAAGCAGGTAAAAGTATAAATCGCACTAGAAGAATAGATACATCAAAGAGTAACTGAAAAGACTCGTTTTCAGTACAATAAACCATTAAACTGCAAAGGTGAACAAGGAAAAGAGCACAAAAACAACTAGAAGAAAATCAGTAAAATTACAGAAGTATGTGCTTACCTTATCTATCAATAACTATGAATGTATGTGGGCTAAATTCTCCAAATAAAAGAGACATATTGGCTGAATGAATTATTTAAAAAAAACCATAATCCCTAAAACATGTAGCTACAAGAAACTTCTATCACCAATAAAGATGCATAGAGACTGAAAGTAAAAGCATGGAAAATGATATTGCAAGAAAATAGAAATAGCTACACTTCCATCTGACAAAGTAGGCTTCCAGAGAAAACTGAAAGAAGAGACAAAAAGGTCTCTATGTATAGAACACATAAAGTTCAATTCAACAAGAAGACATAATGATTG